CAGTAATACACTCAGCAGGTAGTGGGGGTCTCATCAAGGGGGGTAGCCATTCAAATAGAGGGGAAGATGCATTTTCCAGAAATGACAAGATTTGGTAACTGACCAGAGAGAAGAGGAACAAAGATAAGAATCAAATATTTTTTTCCACTTTCAATGGAATACCTTGCAAGCAGGGGAAATGACAGTAATCTTAAGGGAGACTGGGAAATCAGAGGCTTAAGAAAGAAGACAATGAACTTCACTTGTGCCATATTAAAATAAAAGAGAGGTAGTAAAGATATATATTGCGGCATGTGTGTAAGTGTGTACACACGTGTGCACAGAAGTGTGAAGGATATACTATTGGTGTCTTAGAACTATTTTCAGTTGATATCTCACCTCTTTTTAAGTTATACAGGAACAGAAACAAAGAAAAACTATGACTACACGTGCTACCGAATTTATCAAAATCATCATTCCCTCTATAAGCACATTGATATCCATAGCATGCTCAATAAACAAAACAACACTCTGGTATGTCACCCACCCTGTTTCTATGGAGTCATGAAGTCAGTTGTTTGTTCTTAGACCTGATGATAAGTTTCACCTAAAGTTTCATAATTTAATGAAATATTTTAAAAAAATCAATGAAATATGATTGTAAAAAAAAGTTCATTCTACAGAAACTAAGTTGAATGCCTTCAGAAGCCTTGACAAGGATGTGTCACTTCAAAAACCCTACTCTCAGTGGGTAACTGCAGAAGAGGGAAGGCTCCTGCACTCAAGGCTACTCATTCATATCCATGTTCTAGGTTCACTTTAAAGCAATGAAAGGAGAAAATCTTAGTGATACCTTACAAGTGTCATTTTTGTAAAAATTCAGTTTAGAGGGGCGCCTGGTGGCTCAGTTTTTAAGCATCTGCCTTCGGCTCAGGTCATGATCCCAGGGTCCTGGGATCGAGCCCCGCATCAGGCTCCCTGGTCAGTGGGGAGTCTGCTTCTCCCTCCCCCACTCCCCCTGCTTGTGTTCCCTCTCTCGCTGTGTCTCTCTCTGTCAAATAAATAAATAAAATCTTTAAAAAAAAAATTCAGTTTAGGACTCCAATGAGCATAGACATCCCTACCTCAAAAGTTTGGAGAATGAATGCACAAAGTTTAAGATGCTTAAAACGTGTGGTTGCTTTGTTTTGGTAAAATTTCACAACTTAAATAAGATTAACTAACTAACTATTGGTTGGCTACAAAAGATAAGAGGGATTTCCTACTACATATGGTTTCCTCAAAGCAACAAAAGCACAGCCTGAGAATTAGTTTAAGATGTATTTACCTGGCAGGTTATAAAGGTGTTCCTGCTGTGATGTTATGGTCCACTGAGAAATCACACGATGTACTTCTGATCTTTTAGGAATACATGTCATGCATCCCAACACGAGCAAAAGCTACAGCCTTTGGGGATAGCAAAGTTCTGCCCAATCTTTTCCCCCATAGCTATATATAAGGTTGACTCAATAATGATGGGTAATAAGTATCATTACAAATCAGTCACAGGAAACTGCTGCTAAAATTTTTATTGCTATCTAAAATGCTGTGTCTTAATACAACTTAACACATAGGTAAGTTTTTTATTTTATTTTATTTTTTTAATATTTTATTTATTTATTTGACAGAGAGAGACACAGTGAGAGAGGGAACACAAGCAGGGGGAGTGCGAGAGGGAGAAGCAGGCTTCCTGCCGAGCAGGGAGCCCGATGTGGGGCTCGATCCCAGGATCCTGGGATCACGACCTGAGTTGAAGGCAGACGCCTAACGACTGAGCCACCCAGGCGCCCCCATAGGTTAGTTTTTTATAGTCGTTACTGAGATAACATTCTTTATCATTAGTGTAAATAACATTCACAACATTAGTTTTGAAAATATTTTCTGTTGATCATCTACACTATAGAGTATTAAGCAGATTTAGAATTCCCCAGCTCTTACGTTATTTCATCTTTATTCAGATGTTTCATAGAAAAAATTATAATTGAGTGATTAAGTCATTTAGTTTTTATATAAGGCCTGTTTTGAACAAACACAGTATGCAAAGCTACTGATTTGTGTTTCTCAGAAAACACACCCAAACAGAGGACCTTGAAATATCCATTTGCCAGCCAGTGTATCATGACAGATTTTTAGTGTCAGAAAGAGGTTTTCTCTGCCCTGTCTGATAATATCTGTATTTGGTCAACAATCTGAAGCTCAAAGTTATAAATTCAGAAGAGTTCTTCAAAGTTCAATATTAAAACAAAAACATTTAAAATTTAAGGCATTGGAAAAAGTAAAGGGGAGTTAATGATTGGTTCATTCAGAGCTTTACTGAGCACCTATAATAAACATACAACATTCTACGTAGACTAGAAAGATGAATGAAATGCTCAGATAATCCTCCAGATCAATTGTAGCCTCTTTCCGTCCTTTCCTCAGTTAATAAATATTTAAGATATGTGTATAGTGTGCCAGGGACTGAGAATACACTGCCAAATAAAACCTTCAAGGAGGTGGTGTGATTTAATGGAAAAGCTAGGCAAAAGGGTAGGCACCAGGCAATGTAATTAGTACTGTATTGGGAGAGGGCCCAGGAAAGCTTTCTAGCAGAGGTGCCTTCTGAAGTCTGAAGGGATGAGAAGGTGAGGATGAGCCAAGTAAGTAGAGGTAGCAGCAAGAAAAAAAGAGACTGAAGATGTGGGAAATTATGGTGTGTTTAGAGAAAAAGCTTGCAGATTGGAAAGATGTGAATAAGTAGGAGATGAAGAAGTCTGATGAGACATGAGGATGGAGAGGCAGGTAGGGGTCAAATTCACTCAGTCCTCTGTTCATCCAACATTTACCGACCACAGGCTACAAGGTTGATTCTTTTCTAGGCACTGGGGACCCTAGTGAACAAAACACGCAAATCCTTACCCTCAGGGAGCTTAAATCCTGGGGGAAGAGAAAACTAACAGCCTGGTTCAATAAAATATGAACTATATTAGATAGTAATTTTTAAGGAGGAAAAAACAAAGTAGGGAAGGAGAATCTGAAATGTTTGGGGTGAGGGAAGCCTGGAATTTCAGATACCATAGGGAAGGAGAAACTTGTTGAGGGGACCTCAGAGTCAAGATCTAATATCTGGGGGGAAAGTATTTTAGGGAGAGGGAACCAGTGTGGTTAAAGTCAAAAGAGTGAGGGAGAGAGAAATGGGAGACGTGGTCAGAGAGGAAAGCAGGGAGGCAAGTCAAGCAAGCCTGGTAAGTCCTGTAGAGTTTGGCTTTTGATATGGGGGCATCATTCTGAGGTGTTTTTTTTTTTTAAGTTTATTTATTTTTTTAGTAATCTCTACACCCAAACTCATAGCCCCGAGATCAAGAGTCCCATGCTCTTCCAACTGAGCCAGCCAGGCACCCCTCTCTGAGTTTTGCTCTCTCTTGAGTTTTGATCAAGATTTGGCATACCAAGTTGAGGAGTCTGGACTTTTCTCCAACTAGAAGGAAGTCACAGAAGCATCAATAGCAAGTGTGACCTTTTATGAATTGGAGGAGAAAACAGATTAGCGACTAGAAGACCAGCTAAAAGGCCGCTGCAGAGATTCCCAAGGGGGAAAAATGATTAGGGCCTGAATAAGGTGGTGATGGAACATCAACTCTTAACTGAACTATTAACAGATACTAAAAAAGGATGATTGTAGTTTAACCTACTATGCTTTCCTGGTCTAACATGACAGAGAGCAGCAAGAGGAAAGAAATCAGCAGCAAATATTCCCAAATATTGTTTAAATTCAAGATAAAGTGAGATTGCTTTTCTGTTCAGTAGAGTGGGCCTGTTCCTACCCTAGAAGTCACACCGTCAGCTCTGAGGACTTGAGGCTTGAAGGCCAAGAGACCACTGTAGACTTAAACAGACCACATACTCAAAAGCACCACCACAGTGATAGGATTGTCCATCTGACATAATGTGGTTCCCAGGGCACCTGTTAGCAGCAGGTGTGTCCTGCCTAGAGATTTGGATCTAGTAAATCTGGGGACGGAGGGTTCAACATGTGTATTACACACACGGGGCCGGCAAAGTGGCAGGTGGGGTTGAACTTAGCTCAGGTCTAGTTCACCGGGACCAAGCCATGTGCTCTGATTTTGGATGCATCTATCCAGAAAGGGCACTTTTTCCAATTTCCATAAAGGCTTAACATAAGCTAGAAAATCTGCATTTAATCCCAGCCCCCAGAAGACTGATGGGAGTCAGATTAGCCATGGTGGAAAGGGTCTGAGATTCTGGGAAGATCACACTACTCTGGACTGTATGAGTCTCTACTACAGAAGATCCCATTTCTTTTCTTTTGAAACATAATGATGCCACAACCCATAATTTGTCCCTTTTTTCCTAAGTGAAGTATTCAGAGACTACATTTTCCCCTTAAGTGATTCTGTTTAGGACACATGCACAAAGAATATAGGTTTATTTCTTTAGAACTAGCATTGTACTATTAAAAATAGCATCATTATGGTGTCTACAATAAACATTCAAAAGGACCCTAAATTGTACTTAAGCACAATTACCTTAATGCCAGTTGAGATTTTACGATACAACTGTGAGGCACTTTATTTTTAAGGCAGTTTAACTTGCTTCATTCCTAAGAACAGACATTTAAGTTTTAAATCTAAGGTTCTCAATAAGATGATTAAGCTATGCTCAGCAGTTTCTTTAAATATTTAAGAGAATTTTCATCACCTAAATATTTATGGCAACAATAGAGCCAGGTGCATTTTTTTTTTCTGCTTGTCAGAAACAAGAGATCCATATCCTTTCCAAAGCTGGGGACGGGGTTGCCTCAACAATCAAAAAATCCTACCAAGCCCTTGAGAATCCTAGAAACTGCTGAGAAAACTTTATGCAAACATGTGCCCTCAGACTGGTGCTGCCGTTCCCAGATAGCTAGCGAGGGGCTGCCCTGAATGAGAGTTTGCAGCGCTAAGGGCTGGAGAGGGTTTTCTTTTGAAGTGAGTATCTCCTACCTCATGGACTTCATTTCCATCATCAGATCAGCAGCGTTTCAGCAGTCCTGCCACCGTCAAAAGGTGCATGGTGCTCTTTTTCTGAAGACAGTCCTGTAATCGCACAGAGGAGGTGTGACCTGGATGCTCCCCATAGCCCTGCACTGCCTGGTGGTAAGGTGAGGTACTCAGGGAGTCTGCTCAGCTTTGCTGGTTGTTAGCATGTCCTTCCACGGATGGCCATTCCATGCAGGCTCTGGGCAGCCTCCTTAGGAACTGCGGCATTAGAAAGGGATTCCTAGCCATCTCCACATGGGAGAGAGGAACTCCCGAAGGGCCCTCTTTATGACCTAGGCCCAAATTCTAGATATTGGGAAGAACGGTATTCAACATCGCATGTATCCCCCAGAAGAGCTCTACAAAGTAGATGGGGGCAGTTAGTATTCTGTCCATTTTAGAAGATGGAAGTACAGAATTGAGAATTTTAATGATGTTAACTAGTCTGCTTTATTGGCAAAAGCACAGACCCTTTGACATACCCTTTGACACATAAGTATTACATATTTTCTAATTCGCTAGTTCATTTTCAAATTCATATATATGGATTGCTTATTATATGTCACACAACTGTACTGGAAGCTAAGTATACCAGATAATAGAACAGAAATAGCCTCTGCTCTCAAAGAGCTTAGAGTTTGGTGGGGGAGATGGATATTAAATAAACAAACAGGTAAATGAGCACAGGATTACAGAGTGTAAAAAATGCCATGAAAGAACTGTATAAGAGCTATGGGAAGAGAAAAACTGGGAAAGTCATTTAGATTGGGTGACATGTAAGCTGAGAAGTAAGCACAAATCAGCCAGGGGAAGAGTCGGGCTACAAGCCCCTAACATGACACAGGACACAGTGCGCACCCCTGAAAGGAGCTGAGGGTTTAGCCAGTCATACCTATGAACAGGTAAAGAGCTGTTATGGATTTTTCTGTTTTCTTCTGTCTCCTATCTTGAACTATGATGCCTGGCATTGGGAAAGAATGCTTTTTTACTGACAGAACTTGATTCTAGTTTCAGCTCTACCACGAATCCCAACTCTGGTATCCTCTCCCTATTACTCCTCAGAGTAAGTGAGCTCCTTGGTCAGAGAACGTCAAACAATCTGCCCTGGGCTACTGGACAGCAAATGGGAAAATAATGTGAACACAACACAACACAGAACCTACAAATGCTGGACACATTTGAGATATTATTAGTTAATCACAGTCTTATTAGTTATGCCATAAGAGGAACATAGGCATGTTCAGTTCTTAAAAAAAACACAATGTAAGCAAATTCAAATTTTAAAATTGGTACACTAATAATTATAGTTAAAATTTACTGCACTCTTGAGTATTTGCTGGGCGTTATGCCAAGCTGTTTACATGCTATCTCATTTAATTCTTACATAAATCTTCCAAGGTATTATTTTTTTGAAGATTTATTTATTTGAGAGAGAAAGAGAAAGAGAGTGTGCATGTGTGCAACACACCCACGAGAGAGAGAGACGATGAGAGAGAGAAAGAGAGGGGAGGAGAGAGGACCCCAAGGAGACTCCCCACTGAGTGCAGAACTCCTACGCAGACTCGATCTCACAACCCTGAGCTCATGATCTAAGCCAAAATCCACATCACACGAAATTCCATAAATTGTTCCTCTGACATATCTCAAATGCATCCTTCTCTTTCTATTTGCTCTACCATTAAATGCAGTTCCTCCATGAAACTTTAAATAGCCTTCTAATTGGTTATTCTGCCTACAATAATCTTCGATCTCTAATCTATCCTCTATCATATACTATCATACCAATACCAACTGCTATTCTGTCCTCAGAATTCAGTGTTCTGAATGCCATTCCTCTACTTTAAAACCTCAGTATGACCAGACTACCTAAAACACGAAGAACACATTTTGTAGCTGCGTATGCACAAACTCACAGCACTTAAGCCCTGCAGCTGGCTGCCCCCAGCTCTTCTATTCCTTCTCTCCACAAGCCCTCCAGACCAGCCTGCTGGCTGGAGTGCATCTCTGACTACATTCATGCTGACTTTATACCTGCCTTTTCACCATATTCCTTCTTTCCTTGCCCCTCCCCAAGAATACTCTTTGCCATTCAGAATCCCACTTGTCCACCAAAACTCAACTCAACTCTCATGTGCCTCATTAAGCTTCCTCCCATCCTCAGTAACCCTGTTTGTCCCCAAATCCAGGGCATTTAATGAGCATCCAATACACCTGACTTTTTGCCACCTCTTGCATTCTTGTTTAACAAGCTACCCTTTTAAATTTCTAAATGTATAGAACTTGTCTCTATAGTAAAATGAAAGCTCACAGATGGCAAGAATAGCATTATTTTTCCTGTGATTTTCCAGGGTTCACACCCAAAGGAGATAATTCAAATAGTATCTAGAATGAAAAAAATCTTGCACTCAAAATACGTACTTTATGTCTGACTGAACAATTAGAGTCTGTTTTGCCCTTGCCCAACCAGTCACAAATGCAGGTCGACATTATGTCAAACCGTCTTTTGCATAGGCTTGCAAAGTGTGGCCAAAGGATTTAGTTTTGTGGGGTGGGTAGGGCAGGGGCACAAGTGAGAGAAAAATAGTTCTCCTCATTTAATCATTTTAAATACGGTACTGAAAAGAGCGTATCTAGACACCTGTCACTTTTGTTTAAGGTCACATCAACACTTAATATCTATTTGGTGCTTTATACCTAACAAAATATGTTCACAAGAATGAGACAGGCAGTTAATGGTTTGTCCAGTATCTTACATCAGTTAACTGACCATCAGAATGTGAATCCATTTCTACAAGGTTGTATCTCTTCCAGCATCCCCATATAATTCACCAAGGCGGTAGAAGATAGTGGTTAAAACATGGACTCCAGAGCTAAACCCATCTTGATTCAAATCCCAGTTCTGTCACTTACTAGCTGTGTGGCCTTGGGCAAGTTACTCAAATGATCTCAGTTTCCTCATCTGTGGAATAAAGTTAGCAATCATACTTAGTACACAGAGCTGTTTGGGGGATAAAATGAGCAAACATATACTTAGAATGGTATAAGTTCTTTATAATGTTTGCTTCATCATTCTACAGTATGTTCTTTCGTGTGTGTGTGTGTGTGTGTGAGGGGGGTAGGGAGAAATCTAATTAGCTTTCTAAACTTTCAGCTTAAGGAAGTCTTTATTATTCACATAAATGGGTAAGGCTTATTCTTTTCACCAAAAATCTTGTGGAACAAGGGAAATAATTTACTTCATGAGTCAGTGATGAAAACCATTCCTCAACACATCTTTTGACTGATACGGTATCATGCCTTTTTATGTAATGCTCTTAAAGTTTCTAACTGTCAACACTTTTCACACATTTTACCCTCACAACCATTCAATGAAATGGATGGATAGATGGTCAGGTGTACAGATGGTGAGTAGAAGTTAAATGGCTTGATTAAAATGAAGTAAAAATTTGCTCTCATAGTGCCCAATCCCTGCTTTTAAAACTAAATCCCAATATCCATACAAACTAACAGTATTTCTCTGGAGTTCCCTTGTCTTGGGGTGCACACAAAATCTACATGAATAGATTTTATATCTATAAACTCCCTCTCCACAATTGGTTTGATGGAAACCTTGATTCTATCCCCTTAGGAGTGGGGTAAAGGCTAAGTTAGTTTATGACCCTTTCTGTGTGCCGAATATAACCAACTCTCAAAGGAAGGTCAAGAGACTCAGGTCTGTGTTGCTCTGACCTCTGGAGGGTGGTCAGAACTCTTGTGGACTGTTGCAGATACCCACAGAAAACTACAGCTGAATTGTACCAGCTAAATTGCTTAAGAACAGAGAAAAAGTAAGTAAATCTGAGGACTATCAAGACACTTTGCCACTTTCTCGCATATTTAAAATGCATTTTTTATTTGCAAGGGCATTGTTTGACTTTACATTTCCTAAAATGTACTTTATAAATTGCTAATCCCAGGAAAAAGTCTTCCTGGCAAGTAAGTTTGGGAAATGTAACATATTCTATGGTTCTTTTCGGGGGTGGAAGGAGGGAAAGAAGGAGATACACAATGCTTATTTTTATATTAAAAGATTCTGAAAAATTTTTACCAAATATTTGGGTTAACATTTTTTGACCCAGGCTTTCTCAAACTCATCTGACCTTCTACCAACACTTAACATCCCATAGAAAAAATGCTTTGTGGAACACCCTTGGGAATACTGGTTTAGACAAATTTTCCCACTCTTTTTCTGCTCTTATTCTTCATTGGACTGAAGAATTCACTTGAAGAATATCATTCTGGCATTTACTTTGTGTCTGCTAATATTTGGAAACAAGGTCCTCCACAGTGTGAAGAGGTCACAGAATCAAACAGGAAAACTGGACAAAAACCTTAGTCAGAATTGCATGAAAGCCATATTTTCCATAAAAACACAATGCTGCGGGTGCCTGGGTGGCTCAGTTGGTTAAGCGACTGCCTTCAGCTCGGGTCATGATCCTGGAGTCCCTGGATCGAGTCCCGCATCCGGCTCCCTGCTCGGCAGGGAGTCTGCTTCTCCCTCTGACCC